ATGTCTAATACTCTGCCCCAAACAACTTATTGCGTAAAAAACCTTCCACGAACTCTTTATTTTTCAGTAATGATGGGAACAAACGTTAGTATACAAACCTAGCTTTTTGTGTTTGCATCTTCATGTGACATTATCACGGTGTGGTTTATAAATACGTTTTCTGCGATTTTCATTTAAAAATGAAATAAAGGGTTCTGGTATAATTCATCTGATTGAACAGGTAACCCATTTACTTTAAAGCAGTTGCTGAGGCCTTGGTTCAAATCTGCTCCAAGGCCATTTACTGCATGCCTTTGGCCTGCTTTACCGTCTTCTCTCCTCTATCTGTCTTAAGTAAAGGCTAAAAAATACATTAAATTAATCAAAAACTGACCAATTCACCATTTCATTTGTTCCATGCAAATTTCTACAAGCTACATTTCTTGAACAAATTTGTCTTTCCAGTGGAATAACCCAGCATTTTATATTTGCACGAGATTTGCAAACTTCAGATGATCCCACCTCTGAAATAATTTAGTCTAGTCCGTGCACAAGAAGTCAATGGACTTTTATTGGCTTCAATGTCTTTAATTTTCTTAATCGATCCGTATTATTTGTGCAAATACAATTCAGTATGTTGATCTGTGAATATCGATGTGATTTTTCTTTGTTAACCTCATGCTTTAGACTTTGTCCCTTCTCGTTCATCTTAAATCTTCCTTTCTTCAAGCCAAAGTCACTTGTTTGTAACATTTTCCCCCCAATCGTCCATCTTTCTTCTTTCTTGTCCGTCCTTGCCTCTCGGTGATGATGTATTAGATATATTTTGGAACACTAGTGACTGCCCTCCTGGATGTGCACCTGCTCTCCTTCTCACTCATCTGTCTTTCTCCTCTTTGTCTTACCATCTCTCATTTACCTGTCCCCCTCCATTCCTAGTTCTACGTGCCCCCCCACCCCACACTCCCTTTCCCTCTCTCGCTCACTCTATCACTGTGTGTCACTTGGCTGTCTTCAGCCAGACAGGCTTTTTCTTTATGGCAGCTGACATGTGGCAATTTCCTTTCGTTAATGACAAGAAATGTGCCAATTACCTCTCCGGATGTTTTACTGCCAATCAGACGCTAACGAGCTGTGAGCGTGAGCATTTGGATGTGTGTGTATAACTTTGTGTATCTGTGTTTATGTCTTTTGAATCTGTTGGCATGAAAGAAACCTGAACAAGTTCAATGTGACATGAAGTTTTCTGCACATATGCAATTAGTATACAGACTGTGTAGCTTAGTTCCTTTAAAGACTGGTACTAGATTAGATCATACAGAAGTATGCCGTGCTGTGATTGGGATTCTGTTCAGTTCAGGTTTATCTATATAACGCCAATTCACAACAGTAGTTGCCTCAAGGCACTGTATTATTGTAAGGTAAAGAACCTATAACGATACAGAGAAATCTCCAACAATCAGATGACACCCTATGAGCAAGCACTTGTCACCAGTGGGAAGGAAAAGAGGGACACAGGACAAAAGATGCACTGTTGAGCTGAGCCAGAGATTAATAATAACTAATGATATACATATAAACAAACACATAGTAAGTGAAAAAAGGTGAGTGAAGCAGAAACACCCAGTGCATGATGAGAAGCCCCCAGCAGCCTACGCCTATTGTAACATAACTGAGGAAGGATTCAGGGTCACCTGATACGCCACACTTATTACACCACATATGCATAAACAGACAGTCTGCAAAGAAGAGTCTGTAAAAACACTTCCACCTGAAAAAGCACAGGTCATGCTAAAAGTATTCTTTCACGACATATACAACTTACACACAATATTACACAATACACACTATACATATACATACACAATATTACAGTTTTTGATGCTTGCATGTTGCACTTTGAATTTTACAAAATTTATGTGTGTGTGTGTGTGTGACTGTGTGTGTGTATGAATTTCAGTGGCCCTAATCTTCGTTTCAAATTAACGGAGCATATGTGATATTGTACAAAGAAACCCTATCACATGAAGGAACATGCCAAAAAATAATGGTTTCATCCTTTAAATGTGCAAATTTGCTGCTTTTACTTTTAAGAAGTTTTAAGAAACCTGTTTAAGCTACCTGTCAGCAGCAAACCTCAATTTAAAACAAAAAACAAAAAAACCAACAACATTAAACATGCATTTTCAGCCAAGTCTAAAACTTTTGTGATCTTTTCGAATGTCCGGAGCATTATCAGTTGCCTGACAAAGAAACCATCAGTCACAGCCCTGTAGCCAAACAACCTTTTATAAATGAGTCCTAAATATAGTCAGTACAAAATAATCGGTGAACCATTGCTCAGTTTAGCTCTCTCACACGTTTCCCCCTTTTGACATGAGTTTCTACCACTTTATATTTCTTGTCACTCTGTCTCCCTCCCACCCCTCCATCTGCACTGAAAAGCGCTTTTGTTCAATTTTTAATTACCTTCTCATATAAAAGTGCTCTTGACATCTGAACACAGCAAATTTGAAGAGGCAGCCTCTGTGATTGGTGCAAAATTGGATAACCACCTCTTTGTATCAACTGTCAATCTCTATTCTAAGAAGAGACCTTTCACTTTTTAATTCCCTGTGCCCAACACACACTGATGCAGGCACCAAAAGAGAAAATATTTATGTCAAAAACAACAAAAAAAAAAAAAAACAGCCATTGTTTCTCCTGTTTGCATCATTAGATTGTTTGCTTTTGGTATTGCTTGTGTGTGGGAACAAAAGACAAAAAATGGCAATCAGATCACTGTCAAATCTTTGTTCTCTGAACATAGGGGTCCTTCTTTCTGGTAGTGCTCAAAATGTTTCAGAGTTTTATTCATTATTAAAGACTGAGGGTGACACACACATGTACAGAAAATGTATGGGACCCGTACTCAGTAACTCTCCTGATGCCTGCACTTATATTAGTCAGTTCTACATATATAAATATACGTAGAATTCTATACATATGTATAGAATATAAACCTTCTTGTTATATTTTTACAGTTACAGTTTCTTTGTAGTGAGATCGTGGTAATGTACACAGCATATGTGACTTAGTTGTGTCGGTATAAAATAAGAGAAACTTTGTAGAAGATTTCTGACTGACACCTGAGCTGCTGTCAAAATAATTTAAAGAAGACAGCTCAATAGCAGGAAACAACTAACTATAAACACTCACCAGCCACTTGATTAGGTACACCTTGCTAGTACCAGATTGGACCCCTTTTTACCCTCAATCTGTCCTAATTCTTGCACAGTTCCTGCAGATTCAGCAGCTGTACATCCATGATGTAAATCTGCTGTTCTACCACATTGCAAAGGTGATCTATTGGATTGAGATCTGGTGACTGTAAAGGACATTTGAATAGAGTGAACACGTGAATGGATCTGAATGACATGATGTGTTACCCTGCTGGATAAGTGTGTGTGTGTGTGTGCGTGTGTATATGTATATGTAAACTCTGCTTTTATTAATGATCTAGACAGAAGTCTAATGAACTAGGTTAACATAAAACATTTCTTTTTGCATGAGTTCCTTGCAGAAATTATAATTTTTTAAATAATGATGTATCTGTGAATGATCTATCTCCTATATATTGCAATATACAGTCTGTCATGCTGCACTTTGTTCTCAAGGGAGAGAAATGTTTAGTTATATTTAATAGACGGCAAGTGATGGAACTGCGTCCCTCGTGGCTCTGTGAGATTGATTCGACTGATACGTGTTTATAGAGGAAGAAATTCATAAGCACCAAATGAACAGTGAATGTACATTAAGCTTACAGTGGTTCACTGAAATGCTCAGTTGATATTGTGTTTTAAACCCCGTCTTTTTTCCGATGTAAGTGTGTGATGGGGATAAGTGCCTGTTGATGTGTTGTATGCAACAATTTGGGACTTGTTTACTGAGAATTAACTGTGAAAGGAAGTATTTAAAGTCTGTATTTTAAGATAAGATAAACTTTACATAGCAAAAACTAGAAAAAGAAAGAGCAGGTAGTCTTGCTGAGGTGCGATGCCGGTGATGCTGATATCCCAGTGCATGTCATAGTGGGTCTGTATTCTCTTTTGAGAAACTCCTAACAATGCCGGTCTTATAACAATGGCCAGTGTATTGTACGTTTTCACAGCACAAAATGCTGTTTCTGTGTTGTTGCCTAAGAAATTCAAAAACAACAGTGACTGTTTTGTCTTGGCTAGTCTCATATCAGGTTATTGCCCTACTTTTTGCGATATTCTATCTCTCATGAGAAAGCCCCTTTATAAACATCCTGCTTATCTTTCTCTGTAGTCCTCCTTGGTGTCTTATCTCTTATCAGGCCCTGTTACTCATGGGCTATCACAATGCACAGGAAGTTAGCTGTTTGCCAGGCCTCTTCATCACTGGACAGTTTCTTTGAAGAAAACCAGAGAACCAGGAAATATTTTGAATCAAACTGGCTGCGGACTGTGAGGCGGCACATGTTTTTCTTTTCTCTCTTCTTGAAGAGAGAAAAGGGATCTCGGTGAATTACAGCAAATAAAGCCTCCAAATGATCTTCTGTTCTGTGATAGTGCCTGGAGTGCAATATCAGTTTCATTTGGAAAAATGAAACTCAAAAGAAAAGGTCAGAGAGCTTCTCAGCCTGAGGAATTCTGGAGAGTTTTCTTGTCTCTGTTGTCTGACAGCGCCGCTGTTACTGCGGCGCTTTGTTCTAGGGGGAGAATAAAAAGTGCATGATAGCTATTGACTTTTTGTAGCAGGACCTCAGAGTAAACATAGTAATCCTGGCACTCACAGTTATTTGAGAGGTTAGACAGAAACTACACAAAAACCATCACTGTTTAAACACTTCACTTTGATTTTTGGTACAATTTAATGAGGTCAAACTGTCTTATATCTCCTTTCACATCCTCCTTTTTTTTTTTTTAAAAAAAAAATGCATTTCTGTTGCCTCCAAGCTCGCAGTTTTCTTTCTCACTTTCACATTCCTGATTTCCTTTGTTTGGTTTTTTTTGTAGGTGGAGTGGCTTAAGAACGAGGAGGTTATCGACCCTGCAGACGACAGAAACTTCTACATCACCATTGACCACAACCTCATTATTAAACAGGCTCGCCTCTCTGACACGGCCAACTACACCTGTGTGGCAAAGAACATTGTGGCGAAAAGACGCAGCACAACTGCCACAGTTATTGTCTATGGTAACCTACAGTCTTACCTTTCTACACGTTAATACAATTCGATTCAAAGTAGTTTACATGTGTCTGACCAGCTCATTGTTCTTACCAACCACACGGCTGATTAGTAAAGTGAGACACTGGTGTTGAGGAAACTTCCTTTATGAAGTTCAGCTCGGCTCAAAGTAAAAACAAATTTCAAAGTCACTCTGCATACTTTAAATCTCCCCCTCTCTCTCTCCTGCAGCGTGTAACATTCACTCATTTTGTTCCTGCCAGAAGGTGTGCAAGGAATGGAAGATTTGTTTTTTTTCTCTTTTTTGATCTGCAGAGGTGCTGATGTGGCTGAGCTGTACTTAAAGAGACCCCTGCTGTGGTTTCACGCAGCCTCGCGCACTGTCTCTCTAACATCAGCTAACATGACTGTTATTGCACAGCACGGTTCTGACGTTAAACTTCAACAGCTGCTGGAGGCTACTTAAGACAGAACAAATGACACGTGAAGCAAATGTTCCTTTGAACCTCAGACATTGTTCTTTTTTTCTGTAGAAATGACTACTGGCTTGATAGCTCATTTAACTGAGGCCAGCAGAGTTCATCCTGTGCTTGATAGAACTTTTCATGGCTTTGCCAATTTAACTCTAAAAGGGAATAATAAAACAACTGCCCTCTTTCAGGTGCAGAAGTGCTTACAGATTTTATTCACTTTGCACGAACAGTGTAATGCATATTTCTAAATGAAGGTGGCGTATAAATACAGATGTGCATATAGTGCACATACCATAAAGGTGACCAGATGTCTGATACCATTATCAGAGTTTAGCTTCAAAGCCAGAATTTTCTCATCCTGTTCCCTTATCTCTTCCCTGGACTTACTGCATGGTTAGTATTATAATAGGAAGGCAGTGAGACAAGTGTCTCCTCAAGAATTTCATGTTACTAGCAGAGTATATTAGAGCCAAGTGTCAAAAAAGCACTTTGATGTCAGCCTGTCCTTTTCCTTTCCAAAGAGGACTACACAAGCATTCATGTATACCCTGATTTCCTAAAAAGGCTGGGACTCTGTCTTAAGTGTGAAAGAGATTGCACTGTCCTATAAATCAGTTAAACACTATATTCATCTAAAAGAAAAAGCTGAACATGTCAAAATATTGGATAGGCCAACAAAAAACAGTTGTTTAATGCTGCTAAAAAGAGAATCAGGACCCCCTGGGGTAACCTCTTACAATCTGTTCAGTTAATCTGCAGTGTTTCAGTTTGGGGATTGTATCATTTGTTGCATATTGTCACGGTCTGGGGGCCAGACCGTGGGGGGTGTTGGAGAGAGGGCCCAAACGCAGGACTTAGAGGAATGAACAGTGGGTTTATTTACAGTGAGGTAAATGTACACCACACAATAA